TCTAACATCAACTAGAGTAGCTAGCCCAGTTAGCGAAAAAGCCAGTTTAGAGTCAGATGTGCTATTTTCATGCCTTCTTAGCTTTGTCCTTCACAACGTGTCCTCGGCATGGCACTCACATTCAGGCATTCCTTTTTCATAGTAGCAAAGTATAATATACATACTCGCAATACTGTGACATTCATAGTCATGTTGAAACATATAACTGGTGTTTCTCTGAATTGTTAGCCTGCTTATTCTCTCTGTCTTCCTGTGAGGAAGTGTAACAAATATCCAAACAACGGTTTCAGCATTCGAATACTTGCACCTTGAAGTACTCGAGTACCCATACACAGCCCTAGGCAACATAAAACAATCATTAAGCGTGCTGACCAAGAGACCACATGCACAGTTTGAAGGCAGAGACAGACACCATCCACGTCTTGGTTGATCAGCTACATTTAAGAGAGAAAACTGTGTGAATTAAAACTTTTGTTCAACTTCTGCTTTAACGAGAGTTGATGTGTGGAAGAGTGGAAAAAGAAAAGCATGCAAATGCTGATGAATGGTGTGAAGAGGACTGAATGGCAGAGCGAGAAAGAGAGAGAACTCCAAGCTGGACTGTAACAAAAATTATAACATACCAAGCAATGGGCACAAAAAGAGAATGTGGTGTGTTGAGGGTGATTGACAGCAGAGCTGGGAGGGACTGATCTATTGTTATCTCACCATGAAGCGCCTGCAAGGGGCTGGAAAACATGTGAGGGAACTACAAAAGGACACGGAAGCCTCTGTGACATACGCACACAGGGCCTGTCAGTGTCTTTTATGGGCTTTATTCTTGTTTGTATGCTATAGAGATGTGTGTGTGTGTGAGTGTGTGTGTGGGTATTTATTAGTGTTTTCTTCTTGTTTGTTAAAGAAATACAGCATTTCTCAACCAACTTTATCAGGGGCTGAAGCAACCGTCTGTTGACTTCTATTATAAATGAGCTCCAAGTCAGTGGGTTCTCTGTAGTTTTCTAAGTACAGGAAAACACACTGAAATTACTGTCTGTGGTAATCAACTGTATGCTAAAGATGCAGCCAACAGAGATTAGTTTGAAAAACGCTAGAGTATTCCTTTAAACAGATGCTTTTATCTAGAAAACGTGGCAGTAGCATTAATGATTCACAGGTAGAAACCAATTATGTCCAATTAAGAGGCAACTGTGTCCTTATTAAGAATTTTTTTCATCAAGCTTTGATCTTCCAGTGCACTGGGGTTTGAACACTTATGCAAGCAGCATATATCATTTCTAATTTGTTTTAAATACCTGCAGACAACTTGTTTTAGCTTTGGAAATTCAGCATGCAGCATATGAGCTCACAGTAAAAATAGTGAATGGAAAAATATGGGGATCAGGACTTTAAGGGGGAAGAGTACACATGGCATTAGACGGTACAGGGCAAAGGTCAGAGAGCAGCCTTCATTTGTTTAATCTCTAGTCAAAACAGCCATTAAGCATAAGTTATTCATTTTTCAGGATATTATTCAGGATATTTCAGAGGAGATTAGGTATAAGATAATCCACTTGCATACGGAAGGAGAAAGTAAAAAAAAAACAAGTGGAAAAAAGGAGTTTCCAAAACTGGAGTTTAAACACGATTAAAGGATACAAAGAAAATGGGACTCTTAACAACCATGGAAGACCACTAAAACGGTCACCAGATAAAGCGTTCATCTCTGAGAGAGAGGAGAACATCAAGCTCCACTCTTACTTCAGATCAGGAAAAAAAGGCCACAAGTGTTTCTGTCCATCCTTCTACTGTGGGAAGGATGCTAATGATCGGAAAGGATGTGAAGCCGTTAATGAGAACCGACAAACATAAAAAAAAAAGTTTAGAAGCTGCTGGTGTTCTCTGAATAATGGATTGACCACCTCAGAGTCCAGGCCTCAGCATCACTGAATGTGTTTGGGATTACTTGGATCATAAGAAGCAGAAAGTACAAACTGACTTCTAAAGGCCAATTTATATATATATATATATATATATATATATATATATATATATATATATATATATATATATATATATACACACACATATATACATATATATATATATATATATATATATATATATATATATATATATATGTATATAAAAGTGTCGCTCAACAAAAAAATATTGTGCTTGACGGACGTCGCAGCAATGAAGACTTTCATTGTCCTGCGCCAGCAACATAACATACATCATCTGTAGTTTCTATGAAAAACTGTATGACGATGAAGCTAATGAAGCAGCAGTTAAACCACACAGAACAGTCTGAAAACAGCTGCTACAGTGAAACTGCATTAACAATAGGATTTTAGCTGCAGGGTCGCTACGGCAACCAGAAATGCTAGTTTTTCCACACGTGTTGTGTTACACTCACAAGCTCTTTCTCTGTCACCCAGGGTTGCCAGATTCACAGTTTTCTCAAAAATTCTGTTTAGTGTGAAAGTGCTGTGGGGGGGGGTTACACTGTCACAGAGTGCGTTTTCTGCTTGGACTGCTTTTTAAAGTAATCGCAGTCGTGGAAAAAACGTTTCAAAATGAAAACAAGTTCTGAATAGCTGGCAACCCATTCTGTTTCTGAAAGCAGCAGAGCAGCAAGAAAGTAAACACAGCTGCACACCGTGACCATGGCAACAATCCAGAACATAAAACTTTGAGTTTCTATCCAATCAGAGTGTGCGACAGTATCCACGCCCTTTAAATTTTTTTGATGTATGCCACAAGCTCTGCCCTAACAGACAAAGATTTTGTCTCTTTGCGTCAGTTTCTGTCGAGCGACGCTTGTTGCCTGGACTATAAATTGGACTTAAGACTGAACTTTGTTGGCGTGTAAAAATATTTCAGATTTCTTTGAAAAACTGAAATCAAGTCTCCTAAAAATAACGAAAGCTGTAATGAAGGTGAAGGGTGGACACACTCAATACTGAAAGGTGTAATTTTATATTTAGTTGTTGAGGTTTCTGTGTAATGTTCTATTAACTATAGTATTCTAATGATCAAAAATGAGTCACATGTACTTAATGGCTGGTTTGACTGGAAACGAAAAAAATGGTAAAATGGTAAAAGGGTAATCTATGACTTTTCCACAGCATTATAAAGGTATGGGTCTGAGCTATGTATGTTTGTTCATTACAGGCTTCATTCCATTTTACATACAGATAGGTGTTTCTGTATGTGATCCTCCTGTACAGGGAACACCAAAGAGATGTGGTTGTTACACACTTTATAGACTCTACAGAAGTGTGTGTTTATGCATGTGCATGTCTTTTCCTGTTTGTATGCTGTGGAGGTATGATGACATTACTACAGGGACAAGAGATGAACCAAGTGTGTGCATGTGTGTGTAGGTGGCATATGGTGTGTCGTTCTGCTCTCAATCTTAACCCGGCCATTTCCCCTCTCCTCTCTCGCTGCGTGATGGAAGCACACATTTGCAGGAAAGGCAGCGGACTGCAGCTTTTCAAGGGCAGCATGCCCCTCACGCACTCCGCCGCATGTGCTGCCCCGCACACACATACACGCCACCTCCATTCAGCATCGCTTTCCTTCTCTTAGCTTCATAATGGAGAATAAGGGGAGTCCTACTGGAGGCAGGAGTGACCAGCCAAGCCACACTTATACACACATATGCGCACACAGAGACAGTTATATGCAAACATTTACACACCCTCAGTCAAATGACAAATTTGTCGATTTTCTATGTGAATATAAGTGCGCACATCCTTCACAGGGAACACACTTAAATATGGCATTTTCCTGCACATTTTAGCACACAATGTCTATTTATCTGCAGAGTTTAACAGACTGGAAAGAAAAAACAAAATATTAAAGGTGCCATAACTTTTGCACACCCACATTTTATGTTTTATTTTTTTCCAAATTGGTAATTATTTTCACTTCCCAAACATTTGAAGAGGGGTGCACAAACTTTTGCCTATACATATACTCTGTAACATTTCAAAGGGAATCAATTCAGCTTCCCAACCAGTCAGCACTTAATAGCCATAATGCTAGCAAAACTGCCCAAAACCTCCTTTTTTTTGTAGAAACGGAAATGTACTAGAAAGTTGATTTTTTAAATGTAACACTTCTGCTTTCCAAAATTAAAAAAGACTTAAAGACTAACGTAAAAGACTAGAAAAATGATTAAGGTTTAGCTTTTTAGCTTTATTCAAATCTTTTCACTGATGACTCAGTCATAGGTGCCCTCTAGTGTTGGGGAGGAGCACAAAGTGGCCAGAAAGTTATTTCTAGAAAATGAGAAGGACTGAATTAAATCAAATTCCCACAGTTTTCCCCTTTCTCCATATGTAGTCAGTCAGCCAAGACATGTTCGGCATCAGAAGTTTGCTTCTTCAGTTTTGCACTAGAGCTACGAGGCTAATATAGCTAACAGACACTAAAACAGCACCAGTTAGCATCACTCAAACTGCATGCTATCACTAAATAGCATTGTTATCTACAAAAATGGACCAAAGTATGGGATTCAAATTGCTGCTACAGTTATTTTTAGCAACCTGAGGCACTTTTGTCATTTTTATAGAAACCAGATTAGCAAGTCTGTTTGAGATTATTTACTTCCTGATTTGGTGTGTGTTGCTATACTAACCTCTAACGACTCTAAGCTTCCATTACTTGTTACCTTTACATTAAAACCTTTCGCAGACACACTTATGAAGACACACTTCACAGAAGTACGCAAATGTAGCATTAACAATCATGCCCAAGGACTCTTATTGGTACAGTATGGGGTGCTTGTAATCTAGTCTGAAATGTGAAGTGCAGTCATGTTACTGTTATCCTGTTGCCTCATTAGCCTTGTAGCTCCAGTGCAAAACTAAAAAAACAAAAACCTGTTCTGGATGATTACATTTGTGATAAGAGGAAAAACTGTACAAATTGGATTTTTCTTTGATGATGAAGAGAAACACATGACCGGACCCCAACCCTTCAGCTCCAATCCTGTGAATTGGTCCCACCTTTGGAGGCCTCAGTGCCATATGGATCAGTCAGATAGGGCAGCCAGGCGTCTTTAACGGCTGATTTGAAGACCTCCCGGTTGTCCAGACTCTGAAGCGGGCGAAAGTTATTCCGTAGATACTCCACTGACTTCACATGATCCTGCTGCTCCGTGGTGAAGATGGAGTAGAAGGCCTCCAACTGGGTGAGAGAGAGAGAGAAAAATACTTCGTTCACATTACATGCTTTACTCAGAACAGCTCAGAATGATCGTTGTGCCTTGACAGTTAACATTCAAGTCTGCAAAGTAGTACTCTGACAGGATTAGCGTTACATAAGGAGGTGCGTAATGCAAATATCACCAGAATGTCTGTGATTTGGTCCTGTATGAAACCTATAATATGACTTATTCATAAACATTCATGGACACATCCTGAAATCTTGCCCCATCTGGGTAGCACTTAAGTGGCTCAGTGTTAAATGGAGGTTCAGACCAAGCCTTCAATATATGGCTGTGGTATGAGAGGAGATTATATAACTGGGGGGTGGGAGAACGCTGAGAGTTTTAGGCAACTTCTGCTTTAAGCTCTAACACCAGACACCACCTTGATGAAAAGTAAATAGGGAACAGAGAGGACAGAGGGGAGGTGATGGGGTGTGCAAACTTTATCACAGGAAACAGAATTTAGAGATTTCTAAACTACTTGAAGTCACCTTCTACTGAGTATTATACCAGAATTAGGAAATACAGATCCGAGCCGTAGGAAATGTGAATGGCATTTTTTAAAACCCCCAATATCGTCCACAATATAGTCCTAATGTGTTCCAAAGTCGATATGTTTTGTCCACACTGGAAACATTAAGTGTGTGTGTCAAGTCAAAATGTAAACAAACCACAGACCTATCAGAAAATAGCTCGACTTCCACTAAATTGGGCATATAAACATGCTATTTCTAGATATACTGCGTGCAATTGTTTGACTTGATTTTTATTATTATTGTCTTATTTTCATTATTTTAGTTTTTTTCCCCCATTTATTTATTTTTCATATTCTTATTTTAATTATGATTAGCTAATTATTATTTCAGTCATTTTAAGTAATTTTAGTTTCCTTTTTTGATCTTATCCTCCTTTTTTTGATCTTCTTTTGATTTTATTAACTCTTACATTTTAGTTACGCTTTAATTAATGTTTTATATTTTCTACTGTTTTTTATGTATTCTTATTAATGTTTCTTTTTTATATTTACCTGATTTGAATCATTTTTATTATTAAAATGACTTATTACTTTTATTATTTGATATGTTCTTCACATTATCAATCCCTTTTTCCTGCACGAACACAGCAACATTGTCACCCGCAATGTTCTCGAGGTTAAATAAAGGTTGACTGATTGATCGATTGACTTATAGTCAGTGCATAAATGATATTTTAGGTACATATTTTACAGTTTACCTTCCAACGTCCAGCACTCTGGCAATTTCTCTCCACACTGCAAAAAGTGGCATCTCGTCAAGTACAATTACCTTGAATATAGTCAATAAATCTAATATCTCCCCTGTTGAGATGGTTGCAAGCTTAAATGAAGATTATTTAATTTATTTTTAGACACTGTTTACTTGTTTTAGATCATTTTATTGAGTAAAACTGTCTCACTTTACTGGCACATAATTTTGCTGGTTTCAAGCACATTTAAGCTGCTTTATGTAACATTACAACACCAGTTACTCAAACTGTAGACTAGTAACCTTAGTTAAATGTGTGTCATCTGAGTATGTAGGAGCGTTAGCTTGCTTGTAGTATATTTGTAGCATTACTTGTATGGGGACTACTTAATGATCATGTATTTCAGCGGATTCAGTGATATTTTGTAAAAAATTTACACAGGACAAAATCTATCGGCTTGGGAACATTTGCGTTTACCACAGGGGGTGATAGCAACCACTTTGGGTGAAGATGGAGTAGAAGGCCTCCAACTAGGTGTGAGAGAGAGAAAAATGCCACATTCACATTACAAGCTTTACTCAGAACTGATCAGAATGATTTTTGTGCCTTAAAAGTTAATATTCAACTCTTATACAAGTTCTACTCAGACAGGATTAGTGTTACATAAGGAGGTAGTGTAAATGTTACCAAAATATCTGTGATTTGGTCCTGTATGAAACCTGTAATATGACTTACTCATGAACATTCATGGACACATCCCAACAACCTACCCCATCTGAGTAGCGCTTGAGTGACTCATATCTGTTATGTGGAGGTTCAGACCATGTCTCCTACATTTGGTTGTGGTATGAGAGATTATACAGCCGGAGGGGGGAGAACCCTGAGAATTTGGGCGACCTCTGCTTTAAGCTAGAACGCCGGACGCCACTTTGATAAACAAGGATAAGGAATATGACAAAACATATCAGCTTGGAAACATTTCTGTTTACCACAGGGGGCAACAGCAGCGATTTTTAGTGAAGATGGAGCAGAAGGCCTCCAACTGGGTGAGAGAGAGAAATGCTACGTTCACTTTACAAGATTTACTCAGAAAGATTTTCAAAAAAAAAATACAGCTCAGACCTGGACTTGCTTATTTGGGCATTTCAGAAGTCTGTAAGATGCTTCATAGGAAGGAGGAGGAGCTTCAGGCATAGTCCTCCACCTAAACTGTAATTACTCCATTTAGCGTGGCCTGAAAAGACCTGCATGTGCACATTTCTCAAATCAATACTTACACTTGTACGCTATTCAATTTCATTTACAAAATAATAATTAAAAAAAACATCAATCTGAACATTCTCAGTATGGACGCAGGGACATATATCAGATATGTATCCCACGAGGGGGCACACATGAACATGGCTCAAGCAAGATTTGAAAAGATCCAATTATGTTTATGTTTATGCAAAAATTGGATTTGTGGATTGGGTTTGAGAACCCTATAATGGGAACACAGCCAAAGATCAGGGAATAAAACAGCCGTATCAGTGCAGCAGGCATTTATGTGTGCAGAGCTGCTTGTAAGCAGAGCCTCTAACAGGTCTCCAGAGAGGCTGAATGTGCTATCTGTATATACAAATACAGAGAAATCTCAGCCTGAGCTTTATTCACACTAAAATCTCCTCTGACCAACTTATTTACTCATTCCTCCACTCATTCCTCAATGACTCATCTCCCATGATGACCACTCCGTTCCCCCCAAAACACTGGTGAGTCAGAGTGCAGGTGCGAGAGAGGAGGACGATCGGAGCCAAGCCAGGCAGAATGACCGCACAAACGCACACGAACCATTACAACACAGCAAACGAAATATGATCAGGACCAGCTGTGGCTACCAGACTTTTCCTTCTACCAGTATGTACCTATATGTCTCTGTAGACTCCATTCCATCGCTCTCTCTACCCAATCTATCCCAACTATCGCTCTAATTTCAGCTATCTATCTCTCTATTTCTCCCTCGCCAGTTATAACTTTATTAGCTTCTTAGCTGTGCACTGAATTTACATGACAATTATTTAAATGTGATTACAAAATTACACACTTAATGACAGTTAATTATATAATTGCATTTAACAGGTTTGAGGTTGTCAAAAAAGTGACTAAAACAGCCAAAATGTAATGTTTCCTCGTTCTGCAAAACAACATGCACAATAACTTTATCACATTCAAATCAGATACATAGATAAACAGTCTCAAAAAACTAAATATAATGCCCTCCTCTACTATTTAGCGTGTTCACCCTTTACCTTTATTCCAGTTTCCATTCTTTTCGAGACATTCTCTTTCAGTTTTTCAACAAAATCTGCAGGAACATTTTTCCATGCTGCTTGTAAACACCTCCAAAGTTCAGTGTTAGACGTTGGTTGCATTCTCTGCTTCTTACAATCCAAGTAATCCAAAGCACATTCAATAATGTTGAGCTCTGGGCTCTGAGGATTTGCTAATTTGTTCATCTTTTTTCTCTCTTCTCAGTCAGGACTTCCTGACACCTACACATTCTTTCAGACCCATGGCACTGAGTTGTCTTCTCACAGTGGAAGGATGGACAGAAACACCTGTGGATTTTTCAGATCTGAAGCAAGAGTGAAGTGTGATTTTCTCCTCTCTTAAAGATCAAAGCTTTAAATGCTGTTTATCTGATGGGGACAGTATTAGTGGTCTGTCAGGTCTTGTCCAGTTGTTATCAGTCCCATATCTCTTTTTAATCACTTTTTAAATTAATTTTTTGAAAAATACTTATTTTATCATTTATCATTTGTTTTCCTTTGACTTTCCCTTCTTTATGCACCTTTATCTAATCTCCTCTCCTAAAAAATGTAATAACTTGTACGGACTAGAAATTAAGGAAATGATGGGTGGTTTCTGACTTTCGCCCAGCACTGTTGGCTGACAGACTGATAGATAGTCTGCTAGACAGATGTGTCACACACACACATATCCCTCAGGGCTCCCTCGAAGCCCTCCGTCAGTACAGAGCCATGAGAAATAATCTCTTAATCACAATATTAATCTGCTTGTCCGTAATATGGCCAACCCCTCTGATGTAAACAGCTTAGTGAGGCTGAAACCTGGCACGGGATGCATGGGGGGATTCTACTCTTCTGCCTACATCGCAGCGTACCAGTAATCCTGGAAGAGTGTGTGCATGGTGAAAAGGCACACTGGAGAGAGGAATGAAGTAATCCCTGATGAGAAGCCTCAGCAACAGGCCAACCCTCAGTCTGAATGAGTGTGTACGAGAGCAAGTGAGTTTCATCTCTCAAAGAGGAAAGCTTTGAGTGCTGTTTATCTGATGGTGGGAGGTGTGGTGGTCTGCTAGGTCTTGCACTGTTGTTGGGGTCTCATTTTCTTTATCTTTTAATCATTTTGTAATCTCCAGTTTTGGAAACTTCTGTTTCTTCATTTATTTTGCTTTGACTTTCCCCTTCCATATGCAAGTGGATTATCTAGTCTCAGAAATATCTCTTGAAAAATGAATAATTTGCACTTAATGGGCATTTTGAGTGGAAAATGAAATAAAGTAAATGTTCTCTAACATCATTACAAATACCTAGTGTAGTAAAACAACAGCCCTAGACTTTTAAGCCTACAAAACATACGTTCAAGCAGATGTGTCTAAATATGTCTCAAACTGTATATGTTCAGCTAGTTGGATGTGACATGTCCACAGGCGCTCCAGATGTTCCAGACGTTTTGGAGGGTGTGTATGTGTGTGTGAGGGACGGCATCGATCGGCTCTAAAAGTACCTCAGAGCAACGACTGTCACTCGCCCTGACCTACTTCCCCTACTGATCAGGAACAAAGCACAGAGAGAGAAAGACTGGAAAAGAGAGAGAGCAGGCAAAAACAGAGAAAAGAACATGAAAAAAGAGAGAGTGAGGGAGTACTGTCTCCTTCTACAGCCTCTCTTTTATCTGCCTCACTGATATTTCCTTTAAACCAAATCACAGGAGGCAAAAGGATGACAAAAGAGCTCGCCGAGGTGTCAATCGCTTAAAAATGCCCTCCTAATGGCCACTAACTGGAATAAAAACGACGGGAAAAAAGTCTTTTGTTGTTATGAATAGCTGTGCGTGTGCACAGACCCAAGTCACAGAGCCTCCCTGCTCTTTTAAAGAGCCCATATCATGGAAAACCCAACTTCCCTCGCTTTTTTTTTTTATATGAGGTGCGCTATGAGTTGTACACTCTTCAAATTTCCAGATGTGCATCTCCATACAGTCCATATAGGGAAGCTAAGCTGCAAAAACAGCCTGTTTGGTGTTATTTTTCTGGAGTCCCTGAGTATTTCAAGCTGCACTTAACAGATTATTCTGTACATTTGAAACCAGCCTGCTTTCTGAACGAGGCACAATACAGGCTAGCCAATCAAAACAGAGGTCATTTACATATTCAGTCTCAAAGGACCAGTATAAAACCAGTTTGGGTTAAAGGGATAAAGATAAGTTGGAAAATGGTCATGTAAAAATGAATTATGACTGTTTTTGGTCCATAAAACCACACCAACATTATGAGTGGACATCAGGGCAAATAAATAATCCTAGAAAAATGTAGAACATTCAGTCCAGCCCCCTATTCAAATCTGAGCACAGCAGGGTTCACTACATGCTCGCTTTCTTGGAGAACAAAATCCAATTGCTAGTTTTTCGAGGCTGAAATGAAATATTTAATATTTTGAATACAGCACTGCAGAGAAGCTGGTGGGCTGGAAAAGACACTCGACTCTGCTGTGGAACTGAACACGGCTAGACAAACCTCTATAAAGTGTCCTGTTAAATTCATTACAGGAACTGATACCTGAAGCCAAACCTCATGAATACTGAAGCATGACCTGCATGAACTGCGTACATGTGCATGTAAACGTGCAGCAGCGGTCAAAGGTAGGCAAATAGAATATATGCTTTGTGCTTAAATGCTCAAATTTTTAAGACAAATATAAATAGTGACATCTTGGTTGGACCCTCATGAAGCTGCTTGAGAGAATGCCAGAAGAGTATAAAGGCTGAATTATATTTCTTTGTCTGTGAATCTGTGATTGTGTAGGCATCTGCCACTTGTACATAATCTCAATGTATGCGCTACCGTATCTGAAAAAAAGAGTACTGTCTTGGTAAATTTTGGTCCTCCAAGGTACTAACAGTGTCTGTGTTTACATGCAGAGATTTTTGCCAATCGGATTGAATACATTCAGATTAAGACTGATGTGTTTATACGGACTCTACTCAACAATCTAATGGAAAATCTCCGTTTACATGCGCACTACAAGTAATCTGATCCAAAATTATACGCGTGCAGAGTACCACTTAGTGTAGACGTTACCATGACAACGAGCATCATGTGGGTCCAGTCAGAGTGAGATGAGCAGCAGTGAGCAGTGCTTGTGTTTTTAATTGATTTAAAATGATGTCAGACCCAGGAAAACGTACTTCACATGTACTTATTAAAGAAGGCCGAGAGGAAGACGTCGTGTTCTGAGACACATAAGACTTTTAAAGATCACGTCTTTTAAAGTTCAGAGCATAAACTTCGTCTCCTCTGACCAGTTTCTGCTCTCGCCATGTTGAACATTCTAAATGTTCGTTATGACATGACACACATGCGCAGAGCGTATTTAAACTTTCCGATTGGGAATGTAATCAGATACAGGTGCTTACATGGTTATTATTCTTCTATTTAATGGATTATTTACAGGATTACCCACCTCGTTCAATCGGTTAGAAATTGTATTCCGAATGGCCTCAAGCGAACTAGTCTCTTCTGACTGAGGTGTTAGTCGGATTATTAATGAATTATTAGGCTGCATGTAAATGTGGCTAATGTGAATGGACCCTCAAAGGTAAAACATGGTCCATAAAGGGAAATTCCATCAATTTTTCATGTAAACAAAGTCATTCAGCCTAGTTTGATGTGAAATGCTCCATTCCAGAGAAACTTCGCTAGTCAGAACTGCTTCTCTCTTCAAATAGAAAAATAAAATGACAAGCCTGGAGTCAAGACGGGAGGTATGGAGTCAACGCAGCTTATAAAATATAACTGAACTGGAAAATGGTACTATTATGTTCCCTGACTGAAGCTACACTCTCAGAAATAAATGTACTAAACTGTCACTGGGGCAGTGCTCCTCTTGTCACTGGGGTGGTACCCTCAAGGGTACATCTAAGTGCCTTTAGTCAGGGAACATAATTGTACCAAAATCCATTGAAATTATATTTTCTAAGATGTATTGACTCCACACACCCCGTCTCATCTCTGTTTTAAAACATTAGGTTATGAAAAGGTACAGATATGTACTTCTCCACTAGGAAAAAACTTTTTAATGTTCACAATTAGTCTTTAAAACCACTGTTGTACCTTTGAGGGAACATTATTACATTATTTTTATCTTGATGAATGAAAAATGTACCTGCACAGAATCTTTATTTCTATCAGTGTACTGAAGACGTACCCTTAAGGGTCCCACCCTAGTAACAGTGTCTCTGAAAGGTGCAGTTTTTTATGGTTTATGAATTTTTACTCCAAGCATTAATACTCTTTTTTAATACTGTTTTTGTAAAATGAAGATGTAATATAAATCATAAAAATGTTTGTAAGATTGCATCTCATCTGCCAGCTGATCCTCAAACTGCTCCATTTGATTTTGCATGAGTTCGGTTTTAGGATGAGAAGCTACCAGAGAACGAATCTGCATTTGCTTGACGGACAGTTTTACAGATTCACACGATATGCCATTGAGATTTTGGAGGTGGCCTCTGCATCCAATGGGGGGGGCTACTTAGAAGAATCTGAATTGGAAGGTAGTTTGGATTTGTTTAACCCTTTGATCACTGTTCCATATGTGTTTTTTCATAGTGGTAATGTAATCACCATTGAACACTCTCACTGACAGTAGCTACACAGCAGTGCGCTAATGGAAAAAATCTCTTTCTTTCTCTCTGACACAAACACTCTCTCAGACAGAGATGAACGTGTGTGATGATCCAGCGCCCCGGCAGCCTCCTCCTCCTCGCCTCTCTCTAACTCTGTGCACAAATCTGCAGAATTCTTCGTCCACACTTGGTCTGCTTGGGTTGCACTCACTAAGCAAACTCATCTCAGCTCATTTAAGTCATGTGAACCAAACACTCATCTACATACACACACTATTTGTACACTATCTAAAAGAGGAGACGAGACAAGAGAAAAGAGGAAAAGAAAATAAAGGAAGAGAAGAGAAAATTAAAGAAGAGTAAAGAAGAGAGGAGAAGTGTAGAGAAGAGAGAAGAGAAGAGAAGAGAAGAGAAGAGAAGGGTGTGGAGGAAGGAGGGAGGCTGCGGCTCTTCTAGTTAACACACTGTCGCGTAGCTTCCTTTGGCTGTTTGTTTCCATTATGGCGCAGCACAAAACTCGCTACATGAGCCGTCTGCGTCAATTAGCATATACACAGAGATGGAGAAGGGGAGAGAGAGAGAGAGAGAGAGAGAGAGGGAGAGAGAGAGAGCGAGCAGTGGAACGGCTGCCTTTTAGATTGAGAAAGGATTGAGATTAGTAATGGTGTATAATTGGGTAGATACTGGGCACTTAGTCTGCTCCTTAGGAGTTAAGTGCTATACATTTCCAGTAAGACATCATCTACCACCCTGAAGGACTTACAGTACCATTTAAAAGTTCAGACACTTCTACTCCTAAAAGGTTTTACTTGTTTTTACTGTTGTCCACATTTTACAGTAATTGCAAATATATGAAAACATATGGAATTATGCAGTGACCAAAACAAATCCAAACTATTTTCTGTTTTCGACTCTTCAAAGCAGCCCCTCTTGCCTGGATGCAGCTTTGGTACTGATGTTGGATGAGCGTCTGCTAAATGATGTAAATGTAAATGTAAATTAGTTCTGGATCACTAACTCATTTCAAAGGTATTGAATAGAGCTCCATCGCTCCAGAGAACACAGTTCCACTGCTCAGTTCCAGTGCTGACACGGTGGGGGGTTTTGGGCTTTATACTCCTCCAGCAATGCTTGGCATTGGGCATGATGACCACAGGCTCATATGTGGCAGCTCCGGAGCATTTTATTCTATTGGCAATGCCTTCTCCTGAGATTATAGGCATGTCTGGATTCTTTTGGACATATAAAGCATGCTGAGACCTTACTGGCTGCTGTTAGGTCTCGTCCACGCTCACCTGTTTGTAGGAGAGGAATACAGGCCGGCTGAAGATGATCCACTCCACCACTTTACTGCAGGGGGGCGTGGTCAGAGAGCCCACATAGCGGTAGTAGCTCCCGATGGACGATGGCAACAGGTCCCGCAGCACAAAGGGCTCCAGAAATGTCTCTTTCTCTGAGAGAGAGCGAGGGAGAGACAGAGAGTGGGAATTATTGGCGGTAAATACGGAGCATGATACAGCACAATGTCAATATAGGCTGATATATAGCACCACATTACCTGTAAATTGGCTGTGTATTGTCATGCATATTGAATATGAGTCATATATAGAGGCCTGGTATTTTCTCTGACCTAACACAGCAGCATTTTCTCTGCTTTAACACATCTGTTTTGACTCATGCAGGTGTGGCTGATTCCTTATTTTTTCCTCTTCACTACATAACTTACATGTTAGCTCCATAGTTTTTACCATTTATAATAGTTACTGAATAATGCAATACTGTGCAAAAGTCAGAGACCACCCTTCCACAGTGTTTCTGTCCATCTTTCCAACTCAAAGCTATCAGGTTGAAAGGACGTGTAGCTGTCAAAAAGCTGAGAAAAGGAAATGGATAAATAGAAGGAAATTTTCTAATAAAACAAAGAAGCTCCAGACCTCAACAAAGAAAAGCCCAGACCTCAGCACCACTGAATGTGTTTGGGATTTCTTGGATCATGAGAAGCAAAAAATACAGCCAACTTCTAAGACTGAACTTTGGACATGTTGGTAAAACATCCCTGCAGACTTCTTGGAAAAACTGAAAGCAAGTCTCCTAAAAAGAATGGAAGCTGTAATGAAAACGGAGGCCGGACACACTAAATATTTAAAAATGACATTATGTTTAGTTGTTGATGCAAACATCTGTAATTTTCTGTTATATTTATGTGTCTTCTGCTTTTACCCGATGCTAAAACCAGAGTAACTCTGACAGTACATGAAATAAATGGAGAGTGGTCTGTGACTTTTGCACAGGACCGTAAGTCTTACAATTAAAGGAATTGATGAACTGAACTGATGACATTCCATTAAAGGAATGTCATCAGTGCCACATATGTAGGATGTATGTAGTCAATTTCCATGAACAGCATTTATGTGTACTTAGAAAAGAACAGAAAACCCATTGACTCAGCATGTACCCATTGGCTTTGATTATGATTTTGCATCAATGGGTTCAGCTCTTTTCTAAGAAGTGACTCTCCAGGGTAACTGACCATATGCTAGAGATGTGCCAGCTTCCTTTTACAAGTGAAAAATAAGCCTGGGGTTTCAGGGATTAAACCGTACAGTGCTGTGGTTCTTCAAATCAGGAGAACGACACTCTTTAACTCTTTATTATCATGCATATTGTCAATTTAGAGTAATATATCTGATTATAGTTTACTGTATACTTTCTCTGCGAGTTGTTTGGTGGTACATGTGCAAATAAGAACCACACACCAGCACTTGTACAGGTTTAATAATTAGAATTTTTTTTTAAGCTATTTAGAATCCTTAATTTGTCTACAAGCCAATATGGTCTTAATAAAAAAAGGCCAGATGCTGTTTAACCTGTACCAGTTCAGATTATCAGGAGCTTTTCTGTTGTTGTTATCCCAAAGAGTCCATGCACATTCCCCAGTGTAAAGCTGACCAATTTCTCACAGGCTGCAATCTGCGCATTTCTCTTCATAATCCTGCTCGGACTGAATTGCTTATCGGCCTCAACCGACAGCACCGGCCTGACATATGCTCGGCCAGCCTCACGCTGCAACATGACACGTCCAAATAAAAAAAGCTCTTTAGGCTTTGTATTACTGTCCTCTTTCATATTCTTATAGAATGCACACACACAAAGGATTTCTCTTTATCAGCAATCAAGATAAGCGGAAAAGAGACAGAATATGCGTAGCGGGATTGCAATGGTGACGTAAGCAGAAGAAGATAAATGGCTGGGGTATAGCTCGCCAGCCCACTGACCTACATTTAGAATGAACAAAAAAAAAGCTATAATCGGGAGTCCTGTTCAAAAGAGCTTAGAAAGGCATGGCATCCGCTTTGGAAGGAGTAGTCAGGATTTCCAAAAAAAACAGCTGAACAGAGTAGAACTGAACACACACACACACACACACACACACACACACACTCACACAATCACACACGGCCGACTCCGCCATCAGGCCGCTTATGCAATTGCGGCCTTTAAAAATTAATTGCCAATCAGAGACCAGGCGTGAGTCATCCAAGACTTCAAAGTCTCCCTGAAAGGCCGAATTAATTGTCTTGTAACACACACAGAGCAGGAACGGAGCTCGGTTCACTGTTTGCACTCCAGGACCCCCAGAGAAGGGATGTTTGGTGGGATAAAAGTTGTGTAGTGGGGGTTACATGATTAACGGGATAGTCCCCTAACACAAATGTCAACATTGTTTACTGTCCAAAGTTTGCTTCTTATTTTCACTGGACTATAGGCTAATATAGCTAACAAGTAATAGGACGTTTAGCATCATGCTAACTGCATGCCTACACCATCACACACTCGCCTCAAACCTCAAATAATAGAGTAAGACGCTAAAGCTACACTATGTAAGATTTTGAGATTTGGAGACCTCTCTGGTGGACATGTGTAACTGCGGAAGAACATTATGTAACATTGGTTGTGCTTTGGACCCGAGTGGATGAATTTGATGACTCTGAGTGTGTTTATTTACAAGTTTTTACAAGTCAAAACTTGGTGAACAACGTCTTCCAAGGATACAAGTGAATTATCTACTATTGCCATCATATCTTCATCAGTATAATGTTGATCTAGTACCCAGTTGTACACAGTACACCACAACTGCCATCATGTACTATGTGCCATATTACAGGACAGGGGGTGATTAAACTCTACCAACCTCATTTTCTTAGTCCTCAGGTCAGTTTAGCAACTGTTGTTAGCTGTTTTTCCGCATTGCATTATGGGATGCAGTATGTTGTTGGAATATTTGGCCAGAGCAGTGTAATCTGGGTATCTCTGCATTCGACTTACTACTTTTGAGCAGTAAGTTAGCAGTAGGCCAGGCAAGGTAGGAGCAAAGGAAGTGCGAAATCAGGGGAGGAGTGTGTGATGGACGGAGAGCAGTCACTGAGGTGTATTGAGTGCAGGGTATGTGTTTAAGTGGCTATGCTAACATGGCAGTGCTGTGTGCATATTGGAGTCAGGGTTGACTGAATGGCAAACCCCATAGGGTTAGACTGGGGATGAGGAATGGGAGAGAGAGGGAGAGAGAGAGTGGCGAGGCAAGGATGTGGCTCAGTGGCATGGTAATGGATGAGACTGGAGTCTTCCAGACACACTCGCACATAAACACACCCCCCACACACTCACAGCCAGAGGGCAAAATTCCCCAACCGCAGAGCCATGACCAACCGAGCAAGCCACTGGATCTCTGTGCCACCCGCAGCCTCTCCCATGCAGCCTAAGCAGCCCTAGAAACCGAGCTGTTGGCTGAAAGACAACAGACAAACGTCTGCATTTTAACCCCTGGAGGAAGCGAACGCAACCAGCATAAACAACTTACAGTAAAATGAATTTCCTTCGTTTAAGCTTTTCTAGCTTAATGGCTAAATGTGCTGCAAATTTAACTGCTCTAAGGTGTTTTATGGTGATTTGAATGAATCATACAGTCATTTGGAGTGTCTCATGGCGATGCAAATAAACAGTCGCAGAATGCTCTACTGTAATCCAAAAGAATCAAAACTCGTTTGCTGACTCAAATGAATCGGCACTCAGTGCTCTACAGCAATTCGAATGGCTTAAACATTTATTTGGCGAATAATGTTGTCATATGTTATCACGATTCATATGAATCATCTAAGAATTCCCTAGGGTGATTTGAATGAATCAGATGCCTTTGAATGCTTCACGGAGGACAAAGTAAGTGTGAAGGGTTCGGCTCAAATAGGGCTCAGAATGATCTATGGTGATTCAAATGAAGCAAACATTAATTTGGAAAGTCTTATTGCAATACAAACTAATCAATTCAGAAGGATTTAAGGTTAATGAATTAGTCATATTTGACTTAATCTTTGGTGAAAAAGTAAGTGTGGAAAGTTCTATGGTGAGTTAAACGAATAGGTTCAAAATGCTCTGTAGTAATCTGGATGAATCAAAGAATAATTAGGTGTGTCTTATTGCGATTCATGTGAATCATCTCAGAATAGTGATTCAAATTAATCAGTCGTATCAATCAAGGAGGATAAAGTAAGGGTGAAAGGTTTAAGGATCAATGGCGATTTGAACGCATTAAACTGTTTTTTGTGTCTATTGGTGATTCAAATGAATCAACTCAGAATGCTTTATAGTGATTCAGCCCTGTTCTACACCCTCACTGAGGACACATCTCATGTGGAATGCCTGGTGTGAAAGGAGAGTGAACCACAATCTCAGCCTGAAATCAATTTAAAGCTTACATGACGGGAGAACAAAAGGATTCGTGCAGGCATTAAAGTTTCATCCGGGATGCCGCACCCAGTGTTTGGGCAACACGGGTATACGTCCTGGCATGATTCGCATTTCTACAAGTTGCACTTAAGTTAACATAACTATGCTCTGTGACTCCTAACATGAGCTTTTGCACACAGCTGATGCCCCGTACCACTTAATGTGTGTTTAATATTTAAGCGAGCGCATCTTGGGAACTTAATGGATGATTAGTGGAGCAGACAACTGGGCTGTAGGGGCCTGTAGGTGTGGGGGTGGGTGCTAGGAGCTCCTCTGAAGCTCCAGCAAAACTCAGAGTAGAGCTGAGCATAAATTCACGCTATATCACACACAGCTCCAGCTCCGGCTTTTGATCTGCGAGGGGTGTCAGCGTGTGTCTCCATGGGTCTGTTTTAGTTCTCTTTACTTTTTCATGCATTTCACCTCTTTCTCAGTGGTTGAGAGCATGTGTATGCGTGTGCACACGTCATGAGCTGGGCTGAAAGTCTTGTTTAAAACCAGGAATACCAATATATTAATGCACTTTACTATAAAAGCCAATGTAATGCAATAACATATAGTTATAGTTAAATATCATCTACATTTATGCATTTGGCAGATGCTCGTATCCAGATTTAATCTTGTTACAGTGGGAGGTTAGTGTAGCATTGGGAATCTTGCCCAAGGACTTAT